TTTACTAGTGAACAAAGGGAGTATTCATAGCATGTAGAGTCTCCTGTGGCTGAAGCGTGATTAATTTTACTTAAGCAGTAAGAAATAAGTTAAGGTTCTCATCCTTGTCCACGGTTATGCTGTCTACATCAATCATTTGCTCAAGGCAAGTTGTAAACAAAGCAAAAACTGTAGTTCATGAAAGTTAGCTCTAGGATACAAGTAGATGCTGTTTCTTTGTACCATTATAGACCAACTTACTGTTTTTGGTTTTTTTACCATGCAAGCGATCAAACTTAGGAACTCCATATGCAAAGTAAAGGTTGTACCACTCATATGAGCAACTTTATTATTATTACTTTAAAATAAAATTAGGGTTCCCTAGTAAGGAGAACAGGGACTGTCTCTGACATGAACTCAGTGACTGGCTCTTTGACAACACGCCCCCCCTGGAGGGGGGATTGAGCATCCTTGCCAGGCCACAGAAGACAATGCAGCCAGTCCTGATGAAAGCTGCTAGACTAGGGTCAGATTGAAGGGGAGGAGGGCCTCCCCTATCAGTGGACTTGGAGAGGGGCATGGAAGGAGAAGAGGGAAGAAGGGTGGGTTTGGAAGGGAATGAGGGAGGGGCCTACAGCTGGGATACAAAGTGAATAAGCTGCAATTAATATAAAAAAATAAAAACTTAATTAAAAAATGAAATTAGTTTCATTCAGATACTCTTGAACTTCAAATGGAATATAAAAAAATGTTGCACCTGCCCTGACAATCCTCTGGCCTGGATCCATCCAAATACATTCTCAGCTCCTGCTCCCGTGGACAAAAAGGAATCACAGGACTCTGTTTATTGGCATTCTGGTATATCTATGCTCTCCAGCACGAGCTTAGCCCCGATGACACAGGAACCCCTATTTTTTTAAGTTTAATTTTTTTTTATTAAACACTGATTATTTACTAAATATTTTTACTATACACAGGAATTTCCTACTTAAAATATACACATAAATAATTTTAAAGCAGTAAAACAGCTTGCTAGAAAGTAAAAACGTCTCTCTTGGAGTCAGCTCCTAAACCTGGAACTGTCCATCTTAGTGGCACTACATTGAATACGCTGAATAAATGGTCTTTTCTCTTGTATCTGCTTCTTCACTTATAGTAACAATTTACCTTACGAGATAATGGCGAAGCCCAACCTGGGTAGCAGGCAAGTTATCAAATAGTTCCCAATGATGGCTGCCTACTAGAAGTCATACCCTCGCGTCAACCTTGCCTCTAGAATGGATATGGTGATGTCTAATGAATCCATTAGGCAAACGAGATAGGGTGTCCCAAAAGGCTGCCACACTCCTTGAATCTCACTTTGAGGGAGCAGTATCTAGATTGTAACCAGAGAGCACCCGAGACCTGTAGTGTATCAGGGCTCCAGGACCTTATTGTGACCAATAAGTAATATGATAACCATGAGCAGGTGCTTGGGAGGTGATCTACCTTGTCATTGGCTGATACCACTATTGGCTGATACTGTGGTTATTGCCTGAATCATGTAAACCAGAAAAGCTGCTCAGGGATAATTAACCTACATTCCGCTGTGAGATTATACATATTATCTTTAAAGCAACTCCATGTTCAGTACTCTGCTACGTAGTAATAGCTAACTAATATAAACACATCCCTCATTATGGAGTATTGCATGACAGGGACTCAGGGTTTTTTGTTTTTGCGATTTTTTTTCATTTATTTTTTTAATTAATTACAGTTTATTCACTTTGTATCCCAGCTGCAGCCCCCTCCCTCACCCCTTCCTATTCCCACTCTCTCCCTCTTCTCCTTCCTTGCCCCTCTGCAAGTCCACTTATAGGGGAGGTCATCCTCCCTTTCTCTCTGACCCTAGCATATCAGGTTTCATCAGGACTGGCTGCATTGTCTTCCTCTGTGGCCTGGTAAGGCTGCTCTCCCATCAAGGGCAGGTGACCAAAGATCAAAAAAGTTCATGTCAGAGACAGTTCCTGTTCCCATTACTAGAGAACCCACTTAGACACTAAGCCGCCATGGGCTACATCTGTGCAGGGGTTCTAGGTTATCTTGATGCATGGTCCTTGGTTGGAGTATCAATCTCAGAAAAGACCCCTGTGCCCAGAGATTTTGGTTCTGTTGCTCTCCTTGTGGAGCTTCTGTCCCCTCCAGGTCTTTCTATCTCTCCCTTCTTTCATAAGATTCCCTGCACTCTGCCCAAAGTTTGGTTATGAGTCTCAGAATCTGCCTTAATACCCTGCTGGGTAGAGTCTTTCAGAGGCCCTCTGTGGTAGGCTCCTGTCCTGTTCGCTGTTTTCTCCCTCTTCCAATGTCCATCCCATTTGCCTTTTTGAGTGAGGATTCATCATCCTACCCAGGATTCTCCTTCTTGCTTAGCTTCTTTAGCTGTACTGATTTTAGTATGTTTATCCTATATTATATGTCGAATATCCACTTATAAGTGAATATATACCATGTGTGTCTTTCTGCTTCTGGAATACCTCACTCAGGATGATCTTTTCTAGATCCCACCATTTGACTGCAAATTTCATGATTTCCTTGTTTTTAATTGCTGACTAGTATTCCATTGTGTAGATGTACCACAATTTCTGTATTCATTCCACAGTTCAGGTATATCTGGGTTGTTTCCAGATTCCACCTATTTATGAATAAAGCTGCTACAAACATGGTTGAGCAAATGTCCTTGTTGCATACTAGAGCATCTTTTGGATATATGCCTAGGAGTGTTGTAGCTGGATCTTGAGGAAGCACTATTCCTAATTATCTGAGAAGGAGTGAAATTGCTTTCCAAAGTTGTCTGTACAAGTTTACATTCCCACCAGCAATGCAGGAGGGTTCCCCTTTCTCCAAATCCTCTCCAGCATGTGTTGTCACTTGAGTTTTTGATCTTAGCCATTCTGATAAGTGTAAAGTGAAACCTCAGGGTTGTTTTGATTTGCATCTCCCTGATGACTAAGGACGTTGAACATTTCTTTAAGTGTTTCTCTGCCATTCTATATTCCTCTATTGAGAGTTCTCTCTTTAACTCTGTACCCCATTAAATTGGATTACTTTGTTTGTTGGTTTTTAACTTCTTAAGTTCTTTATATATTTTGGATATTAGCTCTCTGTCAGACATAAGGTTGGTGAAGATCCTTTCCCAGTCTGTAGGCTGTCATTTTGTTCTGATGACAGTGTTCTTTGCTTTACAGAAGCTTTTCAGTTTCATGAGGTCCCATTTATTGATTTTTGATCTTAGAGTCAAAAAGAGTTGGTGTTCTGTTGAAGAAGTTGTCTCCTGTGACAAGAGTTCAAGGCTCTTCCCTACTTTTTCTTCTAACAGGTTTAGTGTGTCTGGTTTTATGCTGAGGTCTTTGATCCACTTGGACTTTAGTTTTGAACAGGGTGATAAATATAGATCTATTTGCATTTTTCTACATGTAGACCTCCAGTTGGACCAGCACCATTTGTTGAAGATGCTGTCTTTTTTCCATTGAATGGTTTTAGCTTCTCTGTCAAAAATCAAGTATCAATAAGTATGTGGATTTATTTCTAGGTCTTCTATTCAGTTCCATTGATCCACCATTCTGTTTCAATTCTAGTACCGTGCAGTTTTTATTATTATTGCTCTAGACTATCTGTTGTTGTACAGGATTGTTTTAGCAATTGTGGTTTGTTTGCTTTTTTTTTCCATATGAGGTTGAGAACTTTTCTTTCAAGGTCTGTAAAGAATTGTGTTGGTAATTTGATAGGAATTGCATTGAATCTGTAAATTGCTTTTGGCAGAATGGTCATTTTTACTATGTTAAACCTACCGATCCATGAGCACAGGAGATCTTTCCATCTTCTGATATCTTCTTCAATTTTTTTCTTCAGAGACTTGAACTTTTTTTGAAACAGTTCTTTCACTTGATTGGTTAGAGTCACACCAAGGTACTTTATGCTATTAGTAGCTATTGTAAAGGGTGCTGTTTCCCTAATTTCTTTCTCAGCCCATTTGTCTTTGGTATATAGGAGGGCTTCTGATTTTTTTGAGTTGATTTTGTATCCAGCCACTTTGCTAAAGGCTGAAGGAGTTCTCTGGTTGAATTTTTGAGGTCACTCAGGTATACTATCCTATCATCTGCGAATAGTGAAATTTTGACTTCTTCCTTTCTGATTTGTATCTCCTTGATCTCCTTTAATTGTCTTATTGCTCTAGCTAGAACTTCAAGTACTATGTTGAAGAGGTATGGAGAGAGAGGGCAGCCTTGCCTTGTCCCTAATATCAGTGGGATTTCTTTAAGTTTCTCTCCATTTAGTTTTTTTCTCTCAGTGAGTTCTACTTTATGCTTCACCTGTTGCTACTCCTTGTTATTGAAATGCAGTGCAATCACCTTAATCTAGACGATGACCTTGCTCCTATATCACAGACAAAGTAGAGGCCTTGCCCTTCCTCTTCATTAGTTAACTGCTGCTCCATGCAGATTCCCAGTTCTCTGTCCCTTTCTCTTAAGGCAGGGAAGAGTTACCTTTTTCAGTGCCCAAAGTTCTCTAGAGCATCAGCCACCACCCCTGGGTGTCTTCTGGGATCTCCTTACACCAGTCACTTCCCCTCAGAATTGGGTATTTTTAAGCCACTACTTTCTGCTCTCTGACCTCTATCTTTTGTTCTATTCATTTTCTCATTTTTTTTTACTTAATACAACACAGGCAACTTGAATCACTTTAGCTTCTTACTCAGGCTGCAAATTGCCTCGTAAAAATAATGATCTGTTTACATGACAGTTCTCAACTGGTCTAGCAGTTGTTAATTGTCATCATAGGTCTCCTGAGAATTAGATTAAAATAATAATGGGCTTTCTCTCTAGATACAAGCACTTACACACACACACACACACACACACACACACACACGCCGCACACACACACACGTACTGCAAACAATTCCTAGTTGCTCCCAATGGCCAGAGTGACCAGATCTATCCCTTTCCAGGCACACTGGAGAATTTTACTTCCTTGATGACTTGAGATAAGTGACCACCGCTTTGGCCAATGAAATGCAAGTGGAAGTGACGTGCCATGTGTGGAAGCTCTATGAGCCTGCATGCAGTTTGAGTTTGCCGTATTTTCTGGTTTTGCTCTGTCACTGAAACTGCTCCGTCAGCATGGGTCCTGGAGTTCTGGGGAGAGGGCACCAAACCAGCCTGAGACAGACATGAACAGTAAGTGGTAAATCTGGCTGGTTGCTGGGGCTGATCTGGGGGAGGGTGTGTAACTTCACAACACCCTTGACTGTCCTATTCAAGAGCAAGGCACTGTTAGATACGTGTAGTCCAGTTTAGGAGAAATGCTCCCCACGAGAGCTGACACACCCTCTTTCTAGAGCTGTGTTCTCTCACCTCACGCCGCTCCACTTTCTGTTCTCTTTACGTAAAAGGCTTGCAGGTGGTTCTTTCAGTGCGTGATGTCTTCTACTGTTCTCACTTCCTGTTTTAACTCCTTAGAGAGGTCCTGCTTGCCTTCATTATTCCCCCTGCTCCAACCTCAACTACCCACCTCATTATCCATTACTTTCCTTCACAAATGCATCATAAGCAGTGCTCATACTTACTTTCCTGTCTTTCCAGTTCTGAACTCATCACAGTGATTCGTAGATAACAAGTGTCATGCTGCTTTAACCCAGTGTGAATTTTAAGGAATTCATCTGAAACATGGACTGTCCCTTATCAAATACAATAAAAGTACAACTAGGAATGTTCTGAGGCATGGCGTATCCCATTTTATGCTTCCCTAAATTAATCCAAGGTTCTAGCTACAAATATCAGACCAATGTCCAAAAGTTTGGCTGCACATCAAGAACAAACCACTGAACCTTGGTAGTCACCCTGTGGCCATCAGGAGGTCAACGTGACATTCGGAGCTCTTTTCGGAGAATTGTGGCCAATGGGGCTAACAACCTTTGTCCCCAACCCAGTTAAGCAGAGGATTTTGTAACTCCCTGGCATTAAGTTTGGCTTCGTTTGTGTATTTTTCCTTCACTTAGCATGTGCACCAAGTCGTCTTGAAAGCTACCATAAAAATGAGTCTTGGAGTCTCAAGAGCACTGAGTATTTTATTCTGTATGTCAACTTTTGTCAGAGTAAGTCATCAGCTCACAGGCATTCAATGGATGGACACATTCAGTGTCATAAAATTAGACAACATTTGTTTAACTTGGCAGGTAAGAATTTTAATACAGTTTAAGTAATAAGATGGGGCTTAATGTCCCCCAAATTGGACTTAGAGACATGCGTGCACATGTGTGTATGTGTATAACTAGTTGTATTGACTAAAGACAAAGAGGGTCAGTCCCTCGCCTAACAGCTCCTACCCATGATAACCCCAACAAAACCACAAAAACAGGGGGGAAGGACAATTCTAATTTCAAAAACCAATGTTTTAGTATCATTTCTCCCACATACAAAAACTAACCTGTTTATTATTTAAAAGAAACAACATATGCGTGTGGTACAATTACACATAAGCATGTAGGTAAAACATTCATACCCATAACATTTCTTAAAATTTTAATATTTTTAAATTCAGAAACGAATAACTTAGAATCGGTGTCACTGTAAATAAATGAGGTTTTTAGACTTATTTGTTTTCATTTCAATGTGTGTGTGACTATAGGTGTACCACAGGTATGCAGGAGCCCAGGAAAGGGCGCCAAGTCTCCTGCAACCAGAGTTACACATGGTCTGGAGCCCTTGTATGGGCGCTGGCAACCGAACTCAGGTCCTCTGTAGAAACAGCAAGTGATCTTCACTGCTGAGGCATCTCTCCCATCCCATAAATAAAATCTTTTCACAAACCTAAAGAAATTCAGATGTTGTAACACTGTCATTCTATCATATAAGATTCTGGGGAAAAAATATCCCCTAGAATTTATATCTCTTCAGAGACTCAATATTGTAAGAAGAAAACAAACAAACAAAACAAAAAAAAAAAGAAGAACTTCTGCATCAGCTATACGAATAGCCTGATTTTAAGGATTGGAGATATAGCTCAGTGGTAGAGTACTTGCCTAGCATATGTGATGTCCTGGGTTCAAGCCCTAGGACCACAACAAATAAAATAGAATAAGATAAATTAAAGTGTTTATAAAAACAGTGAAACAAAACATCTAAAACTTGCAAAATAAGTAACCTTGCTTTAGAAATGAGAATCGACTTAGCTTTGACTCTTATGAACTGTTTTTCTTTCCTTAGATTTCCTAGGTAGCAGTGTACATTACTGACTAATATCTGTTTGAAGTGTGTGTGTGTGTGTGTGTGTGTGTGTGTGTGTGTGTGTGTGTGTG